CGCGCCCGGGGCGCTCTGCCGGGGTCCGGGGGGCGCCGTCCCCGCGGGCGAGCGCACGCCAGCGCGGCGGCCCCAATCGCGAGCCTTCCTCCCTCTGCGCCAGGCGACCGCGTGATCAACACCAACTGCTCCGCCGTGCACACGCGCCAGGCCCTGTGCTGCAAGATGTCCGTGGAGTACGACAAGTTCCTGGAGTCCGGGCAGAAGTACGTGTGGGCGGCCGCGGCGTGTCGTCCCTGCGGGACCGCCTCGGGGCCGAGGAGCCCCGCGCTCCCCTCCTCGCCCGCCGCCTGGGCTGACTGCCGCTTCCCCTGCCGTTTGCCAGGTGGTTTTGCCACGTCGATGACGACAACTACGTGAACCCCCGGGCGCTCCTGCGCCTCCTGTCTGCCTTCTCGCACAGCCAGGACGTCTACGTGGGAAAGCCAAGCCTGGACCACCCCATGGAGGCGGCGGACCATGCGCGGAGCGACGGATCAGTAAGCGCGCTGCGTACGCGCGTGGCTGCGCCCCCGCGCCCTGGCCAAGACCCGGGGCAGCTCATGCGCTCCCGTGCACAAGCCCTCCAAATGGGTCGGCTGCCCCCAGCGCAGGGGTCAGCAGCGTGTCTGGGCCAAGTGCCAAAAACACCCGCAGCCGCGACGTGCAAGATGTTCGCGTGCCAGAGCAGGTGGCAGGGGAGCTGCGAGGGCACCGGTCCTCGTGGCAGCGGAGGCCCAGCCCCTTCCCCTCTGCCAGCCCCGAGCCGTGTGCGCCAAGTAAGATGCCTTCACGCGCCATGTTCTGGCACCCGTGCGGGGGTTGCCTGCCCCTGTACTAGTGCACTCACCTCCCTGGAGACTTCCCCTCGTAGAGGACAGCTGCCCTGCTCGCGCGCTGCCATGCCGAAGGAGCATCCTGCACGCCAGGGCCCAGGCTGCCCCACGCAGACAGCCAGGCTAGCGAACCAAGGCTCCTGCCTGCTCGGCTCTGCCAGGCTCCCCAGAGCCACATCCCGAACAGAGACGTGGGCAGGCAGAGCAGGGCCTGCCCTGCCCTGCCCTGCACCAGGGCTCCCGCTCTCTCCCCACTGCTCCCAGTTTCACTTGGACTTTGCAGGTCCCGGTCCGGGGAAGTGGTGTTTGCCCAAGGGGAGAGTGTCCACAAAAAGCTGGAAGGATCAGAGCCGGCCCGAGCCCCCTCGTGCTGGCAGAGCAGCAGATCCCCCTCCCGGCCCAGGCAGGTGGGAGATGTCGGGCATCGCTTACAAGTGTCTCTTGTTGCTCTTGCTGCTTGCCAGACAACTGTGAAGTTCTGGTTTGCCACCGGCGGGGCAGGGTTCTGCAT